CAAAAGGAATAAGCTCCACGAATGTCCATTTCATCATATAATCCACATGGAACAGCGATGTCTGGAAATCAAAGAGAAGAGTACTCTCCAAAACAACCGAATCTCCGTGTTCACTACCGAGCAAAGAAAACAACAAACCAAGAAAATATTGGACTTGCATAAATCCATACCTGATCACTGCCAAATGGATTTACGATTCGCAGAATGATTCCGGCCACGAGTGCGCAAAAGAATGATCGCCACATTGTTTTCAGCGGGAAATAGTACGACGCCTCTTCCAGACTGCAAATAGCATATTAAATGAATGAAGCTTGAACCGAATAAGAAAAAATCTACCTGAACAGTACGCCACCAATAGGAGCGCCGAACGCGACGCTGACACCAGCCGCAGCAGATGCACTGAGGATCTCTCTTTTTTTGGCCTCATTCATCCCGTATTTGGGGAACAGATAAGAAAAGATGTTGCCAATACAACATGCCAAATGAACCATAGGACCTTCTTTTCCCAGTGATAGGCCTAGAAGTAGGGTAAAATATTTTACCCCCTCATAGAAAAACCAAAATAGCGCGAATAGATTACAAAGCGTGTACCTGAAGCCGAGGCTAGAATCAGTCCTACAGATTTTATGATGAATGTCCACTTTCCCAGGTAACCGCGGATGATGAAGCCTGATAGAATGCACTTGATCTCCGGTATGCCGGAACCGCAAGCGTACGGTGCGAACACCTGGAATTCTCCTTTTTGAAAATGCCTTTTAACACCAGACAAATTCAAGTACCTTCACAAAAACGACCGCCAACGTAGCCATGAGGACAGCCCAACCAACATAGAACAGAAATTCGAGTAAATAGAAAAATGGGTTTTTGCCATAATAATTGAGCATCTCTGGCCACGCCAACCAGGCACTGCAGTCGGAATCCTTGAAAGACTTCGATTTGTATTCTAAGATTTATACGGAGAAGTTTTAAGAAAAAGCTGACTTTATACACTGTATCATTTGAGGACCAACAACAGTGTTCGCGATCCAGCCAAAATCGACCTGCGCAAACACCATCCTGAGATTTATATTTCATAAGCAACAAATTGGTTAAGAAGGAAAAAAGGCCGATCAGGATCCCAAACCTTCAGATCACTCATCCATCGAGCGCCTATATCGATCACACCAGCTGTGGCTCCAGCAGCAAGACCTACCTAAACAGATGTGAAATTCATGCCTTCTGAACTACGGGGGTACGGTAAACTTTAACTGTTTCAACTACACAAGTTTAAAAGAGGAGATTCAAAAAGAGGAAAAAAGCATTAATACAGAATCAAGGTTACCATTAATACGCAAATCCATCCCGCTCCAGCATCCCATGCACTTTGTATGATACCCCATGGAAAATCCGCTCTGAAACTTAAAGTTATGATAGCGTTTTAACTTCAGGAGCAGCCTCTTGTAACTATTACCGTAGACTTGTTTGTTCACTATTCAAAGGCTCTTTTTTTACGCTTTCAAAG